GTTAATTGGCCCTTGCTCAAGCCAGCGAATCATATGTCAGACTAATATTATCAGCTGCAACTATACAAAGCCACCCTGAAAAAGAGACGGAGGGTGAGATGGGTGTGGAATGAATATATTGGAGTTTTCTGGGCAAAAGTAATGATGCAATTACAATAACATGATTTTTAGAATCACATTCCAGATCTGATATTACATAAAAGTATTTCAGTGTATGTTTAATTTGAACAAAAAGTACTATAAGCAATGAACACCAGTCTGTCTGTCTGATGTCCTCATTGCAAAATCAATAAATGCATGTTGTACTTCATTCAGAATGAACAGGGGTGTAATAATATAATTCCAACAAGTAGACTATATTTTAAAACAATCTAAATGAAGGCATCATATTTGCATGAATTATTCAAAGCATTCCGTTAGCTCTGTTTATCAGTCCTTCTCTAGGGTTTTTTCAGCCATGTTAAAAGGAAGAAAAGGCATAGATTATCTTGGCTGGTTTCATAAAATTTAGAATGAACACTTTAATTTTGACCCCATTATAATTTCCAACAGTAATTGTGTGCCAGTGTCAAAAAACTGCATGTAAATGTGACCTCAACTAAAAGCATTCATACACTGAGATTTTCATATTCAGCTCTTGTGTGACTACATTCAAACTTATTAACGTACTTAAAAAAAAAAAAAGTACTTTAGTTTTATAAATGCCTTCTTTGCAACAGCAGAAGACTGTGGAACAAAAAAAAAAGATGTACCGATACTGCCATCTACTGCTTGAAGTAAAATCAATCAATCAGTATTCTTTAAGACGCTTACCAACTTCAAAACATGAATTAGTCTACGTACCATCATAAAATTTAACGTTTATTTGTATTTACAATTTCTCCTTCAAACAGCTGTAAAACTCTTTCAGAATATCTCAGAATGACAGTAGCAATAACTGATGTAAATAAAGTAAACATTGTAGTTTTGTGAGAAGTGTATTTTTTTATTGTTCATTTTTTATTATTAGGCATTATTTTTATGGTGATAAGAACGTGTTCGACAATTCCCATTCATTTAATTGACAGATCATTTAAAGGTGCAGTGTGTAACATTTTTTAGTATTTATTAACAGAAATGCAATATGACATCCATAACTATGTGTTCAGTGGTGTATAAAGAACTTACTTAACAAACCGTAATGTTTTTATTACCTTAGAATGAGGCATTTATATCTACATAGGCGCGGGAAGCGATATTTTTTTTCACAGGATGGTAGGGGAAGACTCATGAATATTCATTAGGGAACTCATCCCTGATTGGTCTGATGACCTACCCCTAACCCCGCCCCTAAACCTACCCGTCACTGGGGGTCTGATGACTTACCCCTAACCCCGCCCCTAAACCTACCCGTCACTGGGGTTAAGACCAATCAGGGATGAGTTCCCTAATGAATATTCATGAGTCTGCCCCTACCATCCTGTGAAAAAAAATATCGCGCGCGGGAATCCCCTTCTATGAAGGTCGCCATATTGTGACGTCATATTTCTACAGTAGCCGAACGCGAACAAACAACGCTACAGAGCGCTTTTCGTCACTACCTTGAAAGAGAAGCCGCAGGAAGCTAGAAGAAGCTAGTCATAAACACCGTGAGTAGTGACTTTTCCCTTGTCAGTGGTGTAAATATGTAGTTGGATTGTTTCATGTAACTTAATTCTTCTCCCTCGCTGTGTTATGGCTTTGCTATGTGGGGATAAATGTGCTGGTTAAAGGTATTGTAGGTAGAATTTTTTTTAAAAACTTTTTGCCAAATTTTTTTAAACTTTCTATATATATCAATGCATAATTAAAATGTAAGTACTCTGGAAAAGAGAGTATAAAAATCGAGTGTCTGTAGTCCTCTCAGGGCTGTAATAAACACAGCTACTTATCTCCATTCACTTCCACCCCCTCCATTCTGGGCTCCTTCCAAAACCACGCCCCCAAAACACATGAACGTGCGATGCCGACAGCTCACAGCTGGAGGACGCGCTTACTAGCGCCGAGCGGAGAGGAGCAGTGCATGTAGTGACATCATGTCAGACTCACATGTAATAAAATACCTAACTTTATCATTATGAATATAAACAACTAACATGGCTGTTAATACTCACTATCAAGCTAGCATATCGATACTGTTAAAGTTTAAAATATATTGAGTTTGATTCGTTAACGAGCTAGTAACATAAAGCAAAGCTAAAAACAGGTTGCATTGATACACGTTTTCCCATTACAATCAGTTACACTGTGATGAAGGTGAATTTTGTAAGATTCATAACATATACGCCGTGTTTTGCATGTAATTGTGTCTCTTACTAGTCTCTTACCCTCCTCGAGTCAAACGAGTGCGCGCATGTGGGCAGCGCATGTAGCAGCGGGGGTTGCCATGGTTGCGAGAGAGTGACAGTCGCCTAAGCCAATCCTTTGTTTCGTCCCGGAAGGAAATAATGAGCTGTGTTTAGTGCAGATTAAACGGTCTAGAGTCACTCGATTTTTATACTCTTTTTATCAGAGTACTTACATTTTAATTATGCATTGATATATATAGAAAGTTTAAACAAATTTGGGAAAAAGTTTTTTAGACCAAAAACGACCTACCCAACCTTTAAGTTCGTGAGACAGCTGATTAGTAGGCTACTCTTGTCATTGACCGTAAAACAGTTACAGGAATCACCAACCCGTCGATCTTGGAAGCATTTTAAGTCGATCGAGTTTCCAAAATCAGAGAAAAAAGCCTATTGTGTGTGTAGTAAGTGTGTCTAGGGATGCGGAGGCGCGCGCGCTGTTACAATCACGTCATTTTTGCCGCACGCACCTTTGGGCTCATGCGGACGCGTCGAGTTTAAACAAGGCTTTACGCTTTAACCAGCTCAGCCACAGTAACAGCTCATATTAGCCAGCTAAACTTTTACTACCCTGTTAGAAAAATATATAGTTGCATATTTTCATGTGGTTCTTCTCCCTCGCTGTATTATGGGTTTGCTATGTGGAGAGAATGTGCTGGTTACGTTCGTGAGACAATCAGCTGATTACTATCATTATTATATTATGTAACATTAAGACCCTTGATCCTCACCTGAAACTTTATCCATGATGTGGTTTATAATGGACTGTGGTACAGAAACTTGGTTTACGCTGGCTATTCTCTGCTCAGTCGACGATGTTTGTCCCGTTTTAGCCACCGTAGCTTCTTCGAAAGGGAGGGGTGAGCGGTGGGCTGAGCCCTTAGTGTAAACTCGCAACCGAACCGCTAGATGTCGCCAAAAATCACACACTGGACCTTTAATTAGGCCTAAACTGTTGTCTTTTTTTCCCCTCCGCGTTACAGCAGCAACACAAACAACAAAACGCCAAAACAGAACAACAAACAGCGTTTACCTAACGGACGATATCAGCTGCTGTCATCATCCCTGAGACTATTCTTAAGGTAAACGGTTATTTGTGATAGATATGGTGGGGATTTTGATTCATCACAGTGACTCGAAATTTAAGTTCAACATTCGTGAATCGTGACGCTTTCTGCAGGCCACATAGTTACTCAAGTCGAGTCTCGTAGGCGATCCCGATGACAAGTGTTTTTTTGTTTGTATTTTTTGCAAATTACTGAATCATAAAATGTAGATATATCTACCAGAAGACGCCACAAGCATTCATAAGCGGTTAGGCTAAATAAAAACAAAAGCAAATCTGTGATATTTTTGGTTTCCATTTTGTCAAATTTTGGACATGTCACATGACCTTTAAAAAGATTACTTAAAAATTATTCCTTAACGAACAAAACACCAAAACCATCGAGTATTTATATGTTATTGTTGTAAATGCGTAGTTGACACGCATTGTTAAATACATAGGCCTAAATAACAAAAAAGTATTTATCTAATCTAATATTTAATTGACCATTTTGGAGTAATGATTCATTGGACAAATTTTTTGACCTTGAACAGCAGCGCGCCATCTTTGATTTTTAACGGGAATGAAAGCGAGGCTGAAATCGGAAAAAAAAAATTATGTGGCAGTCAATTTACCATTCTTTAAAATATCTTCTTTTGTGTCAAACGGAAGAAAGAAACTCATACAATTTTGGAACAACATAAGGGTGAGTAAATAATGACAGAATTTTCTAGGCCCAAATGCCCTTTGCAGGTCCCTTGCAGGTTACTGTTAAGGTGTTTTGGGATTATCAGCTGATGAAACACTGCAAAATATATTTCTAAGAAACTTCAATAGACATACAATTCCAGACAACAGGAGCTGTGGAATGATATGTGATCTAGGAGCTTTACAGCGGATGGCATTAAAAAAAAAACAAAAAAAAAAACATGGTGTGTCCCTCGCTCAGAGCCTCGCTTTCATTCATACCCGTCATCATGGCGCGGCTCTGAATAAGGTCTATTTCACTTGAACACCTGTGACACGTTCTTTAGCTCAAAACCCTTGAGAGAAACTTCCCATCCAAGAAAAATGTGACATAAAAACAACTGCATGACCATATTGACTGGAAATTTTCTGACTTGACATAGGCTACACTACTTTTTTTTTTTTTTTTTTGCAAAACAACCTATCAGTTCCTAAAAATTCCCCCAAATAAATAAAAGTAGAACAAATTAACCCTGTAATGGGGGGAATGGGAAATAGAACAGATCAAATAACAGCTCATTGTTTAAGCTGTAAGTCCCATGGTGTGAGATTTAACAATCGGTTAGCTAACAACAACAAACACATCTTTCTGCCAAGGTTCATGAATTTGTTTAATCCTTCAAAAAGTAAACAACAGTAGTTGTTCAGTATATGTCGTCATTATATTGCTGCGGACGAGTTGGAAGACAGTCACAGTTAATGAATAACTAATGAATACCTTTTTAAATGTAATGCAATACCTGACCACAGAGTTCCTCCTGAATGGTATTGGTTGGTGAAACCTGTTACCCGGACAACAGGGCACAAAGATAAAATGAGTTACAGCCCACTTGTACCTTGTATCCTACAATTAAACCACAGCTTCCTTGTTCCTCGAATGAGGTCAGCAAACCCAGCAGTTTATTGTTCCTGGAGTATGTATACATACATGTAATATTTAAAAGGAATTTATTTATTCTCTGTCAAGACAAATCTATGATCAAAACAGCAGGATGAGGAGGATGAGTGTATTCCCACAGCATGGCACAGCTCTGGGAACCCTGGGACTTACTGCAAACGAAATCCGACAGGAAGTTGAAAACAGTAAGTCATATTTGACCGAACCTGCTTGATATTTATTATATCTATAACTATATCTATAAAATATGCTGCTCTAGAAACATTTCTTATTATTGTATTATATGTTGAGAATTTTTTATATTATATTTGAGGATACATTTGTTTTCAGGATTCTTTGATGAATAGAAACTTCAAAAGAACGGCATTTATTTGAAATATAAATGTTTTGTAAAATTATAAATATCTTTACTGTCACATTTGATCAACTAAATGTACTAATTTCTGAATAAATGTATTACCCTATTTACATTTTATTTACTAAAAATACTACTGGTAGTGTACGAATAGTGTAGTTAAGAGGTGTAGTGACTATATATATATCTATATATAGATATATAGTGCCTTGCGAAAGTATTCGTACCCCTTTGTTTTTTCTTTTTTTTCTTCACATTTTGTTATGTTGTTTGCCTCCTTATGTTAAACTTCTTTAAATTACAATCTACACTCCATTCACCGTAATGACAAAGCAAAAAAACAGATTTGTGACAACTTTGCAAATTTATTAAAAAGGAAAATCTGAAATAAGTAAATTGCAGTAAAAAGTATTTCTACCCTTAAAGGGTTAGTTCACCCCAAAATGAAAATTCTGTCTGTAATTACTCACCCTCATGTTGTTCCAACCCCGTAAGACTTTCGTTCATCTTCGGAACACAAATTAAGATATTTTTGATTAAATCTGAGAGCTGGATCACTCCTCCATAGACTTCTTAAGGGATCGAAACTGGCCGGCCCAGAAAAGTTAAAGACATCGTTAAAATAGTCCGAGTGACTACAGTGGCTCAATCCTAAGTTTATCAAGTGACGAGAATACTTTTTGTGTGCAAAAAAACAAACAAAAATAATGACTTTATTCAACTATTCATTTTCTTCTCTGTTTGCCTCGAGATTTCACGTAGTGAAACTTCGCAACGCTTCTGTGTTGCACGTCACACGTAGGCTCACTATTGGCCTACGTCATGTTATGACGCTGGTCATGTGTGTGATCCGTGTGACGTACAACCTAGAAGCGTTGCGCAGTTTCACTACGCTATTGCCTAATTGTTCCAAACTTCTTCCATTACGGATTATGGAGGCTACATGCTTCTGTCAACCTTCAATGCAGCATATTTTCTTTGTAGGATTCACTTGATCTGTGTCTTGATACAATCCTGTCTCTGAGCTCTACATGCAGTTCCTTTGACCTTATGTCTTGGTTTTTGCTCTGATATGCATTTTCAGCTGTTAGACCTTTTATTGAGAGGTGTGTGCCTTTCCAAATCATAGCCATTTAACTGAATTTGCCACAGGTTAAATCCACTTAAATCTACAAGCAAAATTAGAATCCTCCTGAGCTAAATGTTAAGTGTCCCAGAAATGGGTTTGAATACTTATGCAATGTAATTAATTCAGTTTTTTTATTTTTAATAAATTTACGAAGTTGTCACAAATCTTTTTTTTGGGGGGCTTTGTGAGACTTAAAAAAACCTTAATTTAAAGTAGTTTAACATAAGGCAGCAACATAATATTAGAAAAAAAAGGAGTATGAATACTTTCACAAGGCACTGTATATATATATATAGTGTGTATATATTGTACAGAAAAGCTTTTGAAACAAATATGTTACATTGTCTACAATAAGACGGACTGTTTTAGATGTTAACTAACTGGATGTCTGTGATCCCAGATACATCTGAACTGGTATCAGACCTGGTTAACCTGTCAGCCGGAGGCAGATTTCAAGCAATTCGATCATTACCTATGTCATTTAATGAGAGGAAAACAATCAGGTTAATGTATTTTATAATAATACATTTTTGCAGTATTTCCCACAATGCTAAATTTGAACTTACACTCCCCTCAACAGGAATAGAGTGAACTCTGTCAAACTCTCAAAGACCATCCTCCCTGCAGACTGTCGTCAACAGGTGTCTCGGGTAAAAAGATAAACACACTTTTTTAAATCTAGATTCGTTATTATCATGGTTCACAATCAAGTGCTCCATAATATTTCAAGACTAATAATCCGCCTCTTCAGTCTTTCCGCAGATTTCGCGCCGGCTTGGCATCAGCCAGACAGCATTTGGTTGTATGGCAGGACACCCTGAAGGAGATCGGGGGCAGGTTTGGCACTTCTGTCCTCTCCTACTTCTTGTTCCTTAAATGGCTGCTGAAGTTCAACCTCTTCTCCCTCCTCATCAACTTCTGCTTCATCACAATCCCACAAATTGTGCATGCGCCCAATATCAGCAGCGTCACAGGGTTCAGAGGACTTGAGCTCCTCACAGGGGTGGTGAGTTTTAATATTGAGTCCAAACTTTATATTCATTAACACTTTACACTAAGGTTCAATTTGTAAACATTAACTAGTGAATTAAGAAGGGGTTTTTTTTCACAGCGATGCCATATAGAATAACTTTTTTGAAGAAGAAGAACCCTTTAGTGAAGAGTTCTTAAAATAACTTTTCTAAGTTTGAAGAACATTTTAATAATCGGTCATTACCAAGACACTGACAGGTTATGATGTATTGGTTTATGTCAAGTTGTCATAACAAAGACATCTCAAACAATTTCATATTTGCATTCAAAATGTCATAATTGAGCAAATGACACTTAATGACAGTTGTCATAAACATGCATAAAACCTTCATATTCATGTCATGTCATGATTATGAAGGTGTCATGTCAGTCTTATGCACACCCCTTCAAGTAAAGTGTTACCTAATAATCTAAAGAACCTTTTTCTACTATAAGAACCTTTCTGTGGAATGGAAAGGTTCCATGGATGTTAAAGGTTCTTCATGGAACCATCAATGCCAATAAAGAACATTTATTTTTAAGAGAGTAGCATGCACTACTTTATTACAGCATTTAAGTTAATGTAAGTATTAATTTAAGTATTTAACCCTGTGTTGAAACCCCTATAACACTTGTGTTCCCGGTCAAAAATGACCGGCCTGCAAATAATTGCTTATAAATGTCTTGTTATGCTACCGTATCACCAAATATTGCATCCGATCTTTTTGTCAGCTTGTTTTCTTTCAATTAGGACAGGTTTTGAATTTATTTTTGGAACTGATAAATCATAGGCCTCATTGATCTGAGCCTCACTGATTTGAGAATAAAGTTCATGTCTGTGAAAAAGAAAGCCTGTAATACTCAAAATAGTTTGTTTGTGCACATAAATGTGTGTGTGTGTGTGTATGTGCGCAGATGCACGTGTATGCATGTATCCACACATGCACAGGTCCGAGGCCTTTATTTTTGCAAACATGTACATATATGAACATGAACATGATTAACATGCTCCTGAATACTAATTGTTTCTTTGATTTTCGACTCTCCCATTCATTTAGAATGGGCAGTAATTTTTTACCAATATAAGCTCAGATCAATGAGGCCTACGATCAGTCAGTTTAAAAAAATTAATAAAAAACCTGTCCTTATTTAAAGAAAACAAGTTGACAATAGATTGAATCCAATATTTGGTGATAAAATAGCATAAGAGATTTTTAAGCTATTTTTTTGTAGGCCGGTCATTTTTGACAGAGAACATCACAAATGTGACTTTGTGCCATTTTGTACAAAATTGTACAAAAAAAGAATTAAAAAAAAATCCTGGTTAAACATTAAAGCACACTAGTGTGATAAACAGTGCAATTTTTTTCATATTTTATGTAAAATTGACAAAATTATCCACAAATAACGCTTTTTTCACTCAAAAACTGAGGTATGTAAGCTCAAGGCCTCAATTCCAAAAAGAAATATAAAACTGATCCTAATTGATAGAAAATAAGTTGACAAAAAGATTGCATCCAATATTTGGTGATGATGTAGCATAATGAAAGATTTATAAGCAATTTTTTTTAGGCCGGCCATTTTTTACCGGTCACCACAAGTGTTACAAAGTGGGAAAAAAAATCACAAAAAATTACAGAAAGTATCAAAACATATTTCGGAAGTTGTTAGACTCTCACAGAAAGTCAGTAAATTTTAGTCCAATGTAAAACATTAACTAGAATTTTCGGGTACGGGAAAATCCTCTCCGGGTCAAAATGACCCGAACACAATTTAAGTAAATTAAAGGGTTAGTTCACCCAAAAATTACTCACCCACATGTTGTTCCAACCCCATAAGACTTTCATTCATCTTCGGGATGTGATTTCACATAGTGAAACTGCGCTAAGCTTCTGTGTTGCTGTAACGTACGGGCAGAGACGGTCGGATTCATGCGCAGAACTTTATTAGACAATCAGGCACACAAATAAACAAGGGCAATCCAATAAATCGTGGTACAAACAGGCGTAGGTCGAGGCAGGCAGCACAGGTTCGTAAACAGTCCAGGATACAGGCTAGGGTCAAGAGTCCAGGGAAACACGGAGAAACAGAACAGGGAATAACGCTCAGAAATGCACGCTTACAGTGTAACAAGACTTCGCAAAGGACACAGGCAAAACTCAGGCTTAAATCAGGAACACAACCAATAATGAATCACAGCTGAGCATAATAAAACATAATGAGACCAAGGTGAAAACATAACACAAGGAGAGAGTACCCTCCAGAGGCTCTCGAGGATACTGCAGCTGCTGATTGTCACATAACCCCCCCTCTAAGGAGCGGCTTCCAGACGCTCCAAAGAGCTCTGGGGGGAGGTCAACGGGGGCTGGGATGGAGGGCCAGGCCCGTGGAGAGGCAGGAGGCCAGGCACATGGAGAGGCCTGGGGCCTGGAGACCCGAGCGGGGCAAGAGACCACAGGGAAGCACGCGTTGAAGGCAACCTGGGTGGACCACACTTGACAGGAGACCAGGGTTGAACACACTTGGAAGGGTACCAGGACGGAGCAGACTCAGACGAAGACAAAGGCGAAGCAGACTCAGACGAGGTCCATGTCATCATCGCCTCCATGGCACCCGCAGAGTACCTACTGCCCCCCCCCCCCCCCAAAAAAATACTTGGGGAAATCCACGGGAGGAACCCCCGGGTGGTAAACGGGTTCAGGAAAGGCCTCATGGAGCTTGAAGGGCGCAGGCAAGGCGAGGCGCAGAGGCGGGGCCGGCAGGGCGAGGCGCAGAAACGGGGCCAGCAGGGCGAGGCGCAGAGGCGGGACCGGCAGGGCGAGGAGTCTGGGTACGCTCCCGGGAGCCTGGCGAACCGAACGAATCCTCCTTCTCCTCCAGCGGCGGCGTCTCACTTGACTTGATTCACTGGACACGGCACTTGATTCAGTTGACTCACTTGACTCGGGACTTGACTCACTTGACTCGGGACTTGACTCACTTGACTCGGGACTTGACTCACTTGACTCGGCGGCACTTGACTCACTTGATTCATTAGGCTCGGCACTTGACCCGGGACTTGATTCGGGGCTAGATTCACTTGACGCGGGATTCGATTCATTCGAGTTAGCTGGCAGGTGCTCAAACTCCAGTTCGGCCGGCGAAACCTCCGCTGTATCTGGATTAGCAAGTTCAACAAAACCAGTGCGGAATACGGGCTCGAGGGGTCCGATACGATGGGTGGGTTTGGCAGGAACGGTAAACTTGAAAGCCCCTCTGACGGTCATCAAGGGAGGATCGAACAGTTTGTTGAGATGAGGCTTTAGCGGCGTGCGGAATGAGTGAGAGAAATCAGCCGCAAACGAACCTCCCCGACGCAGGGACAAGAGCAGTTCCTCAGGATCTTCTTCTCCTGCGGGGAGTTCAAAAGCCTATCTGAATAGGGCGATAAATACCTCATAAGAAGGGAACGACATCCGACCTGGTTCCCAGAACATGCCTGCCCACTCCAGAGCCTTTCCAGTGAGCAGTGAGCAGATAAAGGAAACGCGGTCGTCCTCCGAAGTGTACAACTGGGGCTGAAGATTCATATATACGCTGCACTGCTGAAGGAATCCTTCACACGCCACAGGTGAGGCATCAAACTTGTCAGGAAATGCCAGACTGAGATAGTCAGATGCGGTACTCACACTGGGTTGCAGTGGAACAGGTGCAGCGGCAGTTCGGGCTTGATTATCCGTTGTGCTTGAGCTCTGCGTAGACCAGGTTTGCACGGAGCTTGCTAGTTCCTCGAGGAGAGAAGTTAGTCTCGCCAGCTGAGAACGATGAGAGGCTAGCATGGAAGCTCGGGTCTTGACCACTGTGGATAGATGCTGAAAGTCTGCTGGATCCATGTTTGGCGAAGTCTTCTGTAACGTACGGGCAGAGACGGTCGGATCCATGCGCAGAACTTTATTAGACAATCAGGCACACACAAATAAACAAGGGCAATCCAATAAATCGTGGTACAAACAGGCGTAGGTCGAGGCAGGCAGCACAGGTTCGTAAACAGTCCAGGATACAGGCTAGGGTCAAGAGTCCAGGGAAACACGGAGAAACAGAACAGGGAATAACGCTCAGAAATGCACGCTTACAGTGTAACAAGACTTCGCAAAGGACACAGGCAAAAATCAGGCTTAAATCAGGAACACAACCAATAATGAATCACAGCTGAGCATAATAAAACATAATGAGACCAAGGTGAAAACATAACACAAGGAGAGAGTACCCTCCAGAGGCTCTCGAGGATACTGCAGCTGCTGATTGTCACATAACCCCCCCTCTAAGGAGCGGCTTCCAGACGCTCCAAAGAGCTCTGGGGGGAGGTCAACGGGGGCTGGGATGGAGGGCCAGGCCCGTGGAGAGGCAGGAGGCCAGGCACATGGAGAGGCCTGGGGCCTGGAGACCCGAGCGGGGCAAGAGACCACAGGGAAGCACGCATTGAAGGCAACCTGGGTGGACCACACTTGACAGGAGACCAGGGTTGAACACACTTGGAAGGGTACCAGGACGGAGCAGACGAAGACGAAGACAAAGGCGAAGCAGACTCAGACGAGGTCCATGTCATCATCGCCTCCATGGCACCCGCAGAGTACCTACTGCCCCCCCCCCCCCCCCCCCCCCAAAAAAATACTTGGGGAAATCCACGGGAGGAACCCCCGGGTGGTAAACGGGTTCAGGAAAGGCCTCATGGAGCTTGAAGGGCGCAGGCAAGGCGAGGCGCAGAGGCGGGGCCGGCAGGGCGAGGCGCAGAGGCGGGGCCGGCAGGGCGAGGCGCAGAAACGGGGCCGGCAGGGCGAGGCGCAGAGGCGGGACCGGCAGGGCGAGGAGTCGGTACGCTCCCCGGAGCCTGGCGAACCGAACGAATCCTCCTTCTCCTCCAGCGGCGGCGTCTCACTTGACTTGATTCACTGGACACGGCACTTGATTCAGTTGACTCACTTGACTCGGGACTTGACTCACTTGACTCGGGACTTG